CTGGAGGCACCCCCGCAAGAAAAGGAAAGGGGAGAAACAAACCCTCCCCCAGGCTCTCAGGCCCTCTCTTCGACTCACCCGCGCTATCCAGGGGGTGATCGCACGGCACCACCGTGACGGCGGCGCCCCGCTCGCACAGGCACCGGATCTGGTTGTATTTCAGGCCACAATCCACGGCCGTGATCCTCACAGACCCCCCCGGGTTGAACAGACGGGGTTCCTGCGGGGCAGGAAGGCAGAGAGAAGATCTGGGGGGGGGGGAAGGATCCCACAGGTGCAGGTAGGGGAGACTAGGCAGCCCCAGGAAACAGGACGCACCCACACCCGCCTGCGGGGAGGCCCTTCTAGCCAGGCTTGGCTCCTGCCAAAAAAAGAAGCCCAGCCCCCCCCCCGCCGCCAGCAAGCCCCACTGACCCAGAGCAAGGGGCCCGGGAGGCACCAAACTCTTCCTGCCAGAGCCCCATGGATGAAGGGAAGGGCAACGCCTGGGAAGCTCAGGATCCCCAACAATGTTTGGGTCACCAGGGAGGAAAGGCACTTCCTGAAAAGTCCCTGCGTTCCCCTCAAACCCCTCCCAGGAGTGGAGGGTCGCCGGGAAACACACACACACCCCGCGCGTGCGCACGCTCCACCTTCAGGTGGCAGGCAAATGTCGGAGCAACACTTTTGGGCGGGACGGAGCCATTTGGCACAACAGGCCCCCAAAGCGGCACTCGCACCCCCACCTCAGCCCTTCAGGCCCCTCGGTGCTGGCCCCCCTCCCAGTTGCCCCAGCCCCACCTACTTGGACGGAGACCTCCTTGACCAGGTGCCTCTGGTTTGGGTCCTCAAAGGGCAGGTGGGCGTGGCGGAGGCCGTCCAGCGCCACTCGGCCCAGAAGGGACCCCTTCTCCCGGATCCTCTTGGTCAGCGCCCGGGTGTCCACGCCTGCCCGCGGAAAGACACACACACACCCGTTGAACCTCTGAATGCAAGGAAGGACCCTCTGGTGCCACCCGCTAAGGAGCTGTCCTACGCCCCCACCCCCCAACCTCCATGAATACACACAGCCCACCTCAGACTGTTCCCCCCCTCTCTGTGCACTTCCCGCGGGGGAGGCTCCGGGCCAAGGCCTCCCAAGCCCGGGCGTTGGGAACGTTCCACCTGGCCTGCTCAGCCAGGGCTCCTCCATGACCGCCTACGGCCAGCTGCTCCTCGGCCGGTGGGCTCTGCCTTCTTCCCACCTCCAGCCCCCCACCAGGCAACCTTCTGCCTCCGCTTTCCAGAATACGCGGGAATCCTCTCCATTGACCCTTCTAGCCGGACAGACTGCTTGACCCCAATCGCGTCCATCTCTGGGCACTGCGGGGCCCTTTCAGCGGCTCAAGCGAGGCGCTGAGCGGCCAGACGAGCAACATTCCTGCGGGTGACCAGAAGTGCCTCCTCTGCCCCTACGGCTCTGGAGCAGCCTGGAACCCCCTCAGGGGTGTGTGGGATTCCAGCCACCCCTGGCAAAGGGGCAACCCCACGAGGGGTCTCCGGGCTGCCTCCTCCTCCTCCTCCTCCGTCCTACTAGTGGGCAGCAGGGAGAATAACGGTGGCTCCAAGGCAAGGGTGCCCTTGCAAGCCCACCTCCTGGCCTACAAGAAAAGTCAGAGGCTCTTCCGTCCCGAGAGAGAGCCAAGCAGAGCGGGGCAAAGGCCACCCCCTCCCCCCAAAAGCCAGAAGACGAGGATGACAGCAGGCAGATGATTCCGGGGCCTCTCTGAGACCGATTTTTCATTAGTTTTGCTCGGGGGGGGAGGCTACTTCCAGGGGCACCTATGGGTGGCACACTGACACCCCCCACCCCTCTAAGCACTCTGCAACTAAGGTGGCAACCCCAGCAAATTTACGAAGGGAGAGGCCACAGCTTGCCAGAGTGGGCAAGGGAGGGGCTCCGTGAACTGGCCAGATCTTCCATCTGTTGCACGGCCGTCTCCCTCCCCATCACCCTGAGGCTGACCCACCTCCAGGCCCCACCACCATCACCACTGCTCTTGGCGACCCCTTACCTTCCAGGCCAGGGACCCCCTTCTCCTGCAGCCACTGGTCAAGGGAGCGAGTGGCGCTCCAGTGGCTAGGGTTCCGGGAACACTCGCCCACGATCAGGGCAGCCACGTGGATACGGCTGGACTCAAACCACTAGAGATGGAAGGCACCACAATTAAACAAACAAGGAAACCATGTGGGATCAGGCTTCTTCTGCCAGAGAAAAGAAAACATCCCCCTTGGCCTGCTGCTGCTGAACTACACGAAAACATCCCCCTTGGCCTGCTGCTGCTGCTGAACTACATCTCCCATCGGCCCCAGCCACCACACAGCCAACAGAGGAGGGGAACAGTGGGCCAGAGCAACCCTAACCCCTCCCAGACCCAGGGTAGCTGCCTTCCCCAGAAAGGGGCCCTCCAGATCTCTCTTGGACTACAACTCCCAGAATCCTCTGTTCACACCCCAGGATGTGCCAGGGAGGTGTGACCTCCTTGCCTCCCCCTCTCCCCTTGGGCAACAAGCGCCCACAGCCCCTGACCAACCAGGAAGAGGGATGCCCTGTACGCAGGACCGGCACGGACCCCCCCTCTGCGGCCCTGGCACCCTTCCTCACGGCCTCCTGGCTGCCTGGACTTACCCGGCTGATGCCATACTTGTCCAACTCGTCCGGTGGGACCCCATAGTTCCCGACGAGGGGATACGTCAGGACCAGGATCTGAGATTTGTAGGAGGGATCCGTGAGGGCCTCCGGATAGCCCACCATGCCCGTCTGGAACACTGCAGGCCAAGGGAAAAAGCCAGGGCCCCCTCCATCAGCACCAGGCACCTTGCCAAACGGCCCAGCAACGATGAACCCTGCCCCACCCCTAGGGGTGCTGGGGGGATGGGGCAAAGCCCCCCCCAATCAGCCTGGAAGCCTCGAAGCCAAAGTGCACAAAGCGTGCCAAGCATGAGCTGCGGCCCCCGCAAGGCGTCTGAGCCTCTGCCTGCAGCTGAAGGGCAGGCTGGCACCCTCTGCCCGGCCCTCTGTAAGCAGAAGTGCCGCGCCAGGGGCTTCCAGGCGAGTATCATCAGACGCCGACGGTCACCCCCTTCCTTCCCTGCAGGAACAGCCCAAGAAACATGAGAGAGACAGAAGGGGGAGGTGCAGGGTTGCCACCAGCTGCCCCACCTTCCCAAAATCCCAGTCCAGAAATCTCACCTGAACCACCCCCACCCCCAAAGACTGTTTCTGCCCATGGCAGAAGTCCACACGGCCCAATACTCCGGGCAGAGCACGGTCCTACCCCCCCCATCGCAATGAACCACAGAGGTTTGGGGGAGGAACGCCCAGCGCCAGTGCTGTGCTGGGTGGATGCTCCATAAGATAAACAGGTGCGCACAGGGCGCATCACGCCGCACGGAGGGCGCTCAGCAAGGTGCTCCTGGAGCTGCGCTCCGGACCCCTCGCTGGCAACGGAGCTGCGAAGGCAGAGGGGGGGCACATGCTCTCTCTCACACGCACCCCCATCTCAAAGAACACTGATGCTCCCCTGAAGGGGGGTGGGGGGAGAGGGGAGATGTGGCAGGGGCTTCCTGGGGCTGAGTTCGTGATTTACAACAGTGCAAAAAAACTGCCCCCCCCCCCCCCCGCTCCACCAGCTCCCTCCCAAGGCCGAAGGTCCAGCCTGGTCTGGCCGGGCAGAAGGAGGGCTTCCAGCCCACCAGCCCTAAGGGGTGCGCTAACTAAGAAAGAGCCCTCCCCTCCCGTGGGCTGGCCTGCCTACCCCCCCCGCTAATCAGAACCTCAAAACTTTAAAGGACCCCCCCTCAAAGTGGGGGTCACCTTGGGACCTCCCGGCCAGATCTCGAAGTGGGGCTTCCTGGCGCTCCAAGGGGCGCCCCCGGCCAGCCCAGGGGCGGTGGTGGTGGCGGGGGGGGGG